AAAAAAAAAACTTAATATGGTTGGGCTTGAAAAAAACTTGAAACAATTTTTAAACAGATTTCTAAACCAGATTTCAGGCATGAAAGTGAGATAAAATTTGTAATGATTTATAATGATAAAAATGTAAACAATAAAATTAACCTAAATATTCCTCAATATCAATATTGTTCAAGGCCGACCATGAACACTGGTTATGCTTGATCAAGCATTTGGTTAAAAAAAAAAACGTTTCATATACAATGACATTAAATCAAACATTTTACATCACATTTATAACTTTATTCGGGGAGGCCAAATATCTTATAAAATAGCTTAACAATGGTTTGTATAACCCCTACTTCAAGGCCATAGTTTGCTATAGTCTTGAATATATGATGGAAGAGTCTCAAGAAAAGACATGTCATCATTTAAACTTTCAAACTCGTATAATTCTGGACACAAGGATTTGAAAGTTCAAATTTTGACGATGAGTGGTTAACTAGTCTGTTTCTGAGACTAATGTACGATTGGTCAAATGAATGGCAAGCATGATAACAATTATTTGTAATTCAGTTTTCTTTCTGAAAGGATTAAGGATTAGGTGATTTTCATATAGTTCTAGTACTTTGAAGACTATATACATATGTCTTGCTGCACTGTAAATGTTCATCAATTCTGGTACACAGTTTGTAATTTTTAGTGTGAAGCAGTTTGTGGTCACCGGCTTGCAAGAAAGGAGACAGTACTGATTGGACTTTTAGATTTTCAGTAAAATAATTTAAAATGACCCAGATGACCTAATTTGTGAAGCTCATTTAATTCTGCCCTGGGGAAAATACCTTTTTATCCATCTATCAACTTCTCTCTTTTATATCATTTGGACAGTTTTAATGACTTTAAAGGTATATTGTCCTCTGATCATGGCCTTAACAGCTGATCTACTGAGAAATATTATAGACTGTATCTTGCACTGCAACACATTCGACACCTGAACTATCCAATACAGTAAAATTGACAGTGAAAGTCTTTATCTTGTCAGCATTTAAAATCAACTTATGCTCATCCATATCTTGCCCTTGGTTTGCTTTTGCATCTAACTGAACACAATATTTGCTTATCTTATGGCATCAATAATATCTGCAAATGAATATTAATCTTGACAGTGACACTGCAAGTGACAACAATCTAATTCCACAAAACCTGAAGTCAAAATTTTGATTCTGAAAAGTGATTGTATAACTGAATCAGAAATGAAAATGAAATGAATGGAGTTTTACGTCCTACTCTTCTGCACCTTGTGGGCTAATAAAGACGGGCAACGCCATGCAGGTTGCCATGAGGGAAATTTTGCCAGGACAGCGGCATTAGCCTGCTCTTTTTCGATTTCCAACTGTCGAGGGATCTTTAACGTGCATAGCCTGTAGCACACGAGGCCTCGGTTTATTGTCCCATCCGAACGACTAGACGCTTTTTCCATGTCAGCCCTTCTTACCTGCATCACTGACAGGGGGAAACCGGGTTGAAAAATCCGAAAGTATTATCTCGACTTATACCGGGATTGAACCCTGGACCTTCAGGTTAGCGAGCAAGCGTCTAACTCACTGAGCCACCGCGGCTCCATAACTGAATCAGAGCTGATGAAGGAAATATTTAGAGACCAATAACCCTCTTATAAACATATCTTTGATTTCAACACTAGCATTGTGCTTTTAAGTATGCTCTGGTTTGAAAAATTATCAATAATACCTTAAAAAAGTCAACAAAAACATTGTTAACATTCAAAGGTCTACATATTTCATTTTTCTTGGTCAGTCTTGGCATGGTGCCAAGTTCCCCACCTTGGGTCCCAAAAAAATTAAAAATTTATTCTACTTTCAGTGCCAAAATGTAAATGTATTCACCGCCTTCACTGATTAGAAAATTTTCCAGCAAGAGACCCCCAATGACCTCCCACCATGACTGGTGCCCTCAGAAATCCGAAAGGGGAGCCTTGACAATAAAATTTGGCTATGCCACAGGTCCTGGTTGTATATATATATGCATCATATGGTTCAATGATCTTTACCACTAAAATTGAATGTTAGATTTTTTACTCATATTACATTATTCCTTTGTTTGATTTAACCGCTCTACTTATCAACATAAGATGTGCTCTTGTTAACTGATACATGGTCTATTACACACTTTGCATTCACTCCCTATCTTGAACTTGTTATTACATAGGATCTAAAACAATGCTTTAGTAATCCTTGAAATAGCAGTGTAATCTGCACCTTAATTAACACCTTTCAATACAAAACTTTAGTTGGTAACTAGTGAGGTTGAGTAACAGTCTGATGGGGGTAGCAATGAACAATCCAAGGAGTACCTTGTACCTTTAGGAAAAATTAAATATAAGCATTTTACGATTATTTGATACAGTTCAGCCATCTCTATCTACAATGCTAAAAAATAATTACCCTATTTACTTTTTTTATGATGTGTGACCGACTTACAGGTACCATAGATTTCCAAAAAATAGCAAAGGTAAGAGTCCAAGAGGATAAAAACCTGGGGTGTAGACACTATGAACAATAAGCATTGGATAAAGACATACAAATCGACAAAAAGTATTGACAGCCAATGTCAGACTCTTTGCGTTAGTCTGGACATAAGCCTTTTTGAATCAGTTGCACATGAAGAAAGTCTAACTTTGCCTTATCACACGGAAAATCCTAACAAATTAAGATAAATAAAACGGATAAATTTGAAAGTAATCTATAAGTAAAATTAAATGTTTATATTAGTAGAAAGGAATTTCACTAATTGCCATCAACATTCTTCTACTTTCATAAATTCCTTCTCACTTAATATCACTAGCCAACACTGAAATCAAAACTTTTTAGAAAGAGAGTTTTGAAAGATGCTAAATATTGCATAAAAGTCTCAGAAATGGATAAATGTGTATCAATATGGGGCCCACTCATAGCAGAAAATGGTTGCATTGCTTGGGATTGCAAGCTAGAAGGGCTGAGCAGATAATATGTGAAATTGTCAATGAATTATTTCTACTACTCTCAATTTCGTCATTTGTCATTTCCCAAGGAGTTTTCGAAGTTGTCAAGTCGCAAAACATTAACCTCCATAAGTCCCCTTTTTTGCATTATATCACCCAAGTCTTCATTCATCAAAAAAAACCATGTAGGCAATGAATACACGAGATAAAACATGAAGATAGCTTGCCAGGCAAGGTAATGTTTGCCCAGTGGCAGCTTTGATTTTGAATAAAGATATTTAGCAGTACAGTAACAATCAGCTGTATGAAATATTCAACCTTCAGTCATACACTTCTTTTGAACTTTTTAAGGTAGTATTGAACAATTTTACCAAGTTTTGTCAAAATCCAGCAAGATTTACTGTTTACGCATACATACTAAATATATTTCAATTCTTCTTATTTTCAATAGGGTTCATCATTAGTGATTACAAACACTCACACCAAGTTTCGTCAAAATCTGGCAAGAATTGTGCCTTCTAGAATGTTTACAAGCTAAAAATTGAAGAATTTTCAAGAACAAGAGCAATAACTCATACTAAATATTTTTTATTTTTCTGATTTTCAATAAGGTTCATACTTGGGTGAATACAAACACTTACACCAAGTTTTGTCAAAATCTGTCAAGAATTGTGTCTTCTGGAGTGTTTACAAGCAATTGTGGACAGACTGACAGACCTACAGGCTGACAGATGGACATGGTTGACGCCAATATACACCCTCCATTTCATGTGGGCATATCAAAATTACTCAATTCCATCACATTTTCAATTTTATTTCTAGCCTTTGGAGAATGATTTAGAAAACTGGGACTGCCCTTTATTTAAGGATGTGCAAATATATATTCAAAAGAAAGGCGTTTGTGTTGCATAATATAACATAGCATTATATATATGTATACATAAATCAAACTTTTAGGTTGATCTCATCACTTAAAATTGTCACTTATTCCATTCATGAATGAAATAGGTAAAGGCAACTAATTTGAAATTTACTTTAGATATGTGTAGTATAGGTTTGTAAAAAGTTCTTCCAGGGCATTATTGGTCATATACCATAATAGTACATGAAAACTTACTTCATATATACATACAGTACAATCTAAATAACAATATATTGTCACTGTTAAAATATTGCTCAATACAGTTGTAAAGCAATATATCCCCCCACCCCCAATTCCTTAATAATCAATCTGTTCTTTCTTACAGATAAAGATACTAAATATGGAATGACCCAGTATTATTGAGATATATGCTACAATGTATCAATCAATGTATTACAATATACCAATTGAGAAAATATTGACAATAAAACCCCTTTCTCAGTTCTTCACCATTTTTATTTACTCTTTATTCTTAATTACTAGGAAGTAAACCCCCTTTATGATGTTATAATTACAAAATTATTACATTTATATTTTTCATTTCAAATCTGAACCTATAAATCATACAGGTAAAGGAATCCATGCTATTCTCCTATCTCTTATTCTCTTTAGAAAATTAGGCTATGAACCTTATTATGATTAGTGTATAAGAATACATTGGTTCTATGAGCCATATGACGAGAATACTCGTGACCTACATATTCCTTCTACCATCTTACGGCACCGTTAGTTATAAAATAGGTCACATCATATATTGTATGTATGTTGTGTTTGTTAGTGTGCATTCTGAATAAAACACCTGCCTGGGTGCTCTCACTAGTGAAATGTTGCAATGCGTGTACATTTTCCTCTGGTATCAATACCAAATCGCAATCCTTACTCATTAACATAAATAGGCTGTATCACAACCTTACATTCACGACGTCATACTCGCTTAGTATTGTTCATTAGGGCCATTTTTATTACCCTTTTATTGGCATATTGATCAGAAACGAAGGTTATAATTACTCTTGGGGTGCTAATTAATGATTAGTAGTTCAAGGGAGATATACACTCGTAGCAAAGGGACAAGTATATGTTAATGATATTGTGCTCATAGCTTACCGTCCGAGAAAGATCCATTCAGTTCAACTATAATCCGCACTTTTCCAGCGGGTTCCAAGTCAACCTGTTCAAAATAAAGAAGATATATCATAGTAAATTCATTAATTAACAAAATTTGATCATTTGTTTCGTTCCCCGGTTAATATTCTCGTGATCTATTAATATTTATGAAGAGGAGAAATAAAATGAAATAATAATATGAGACCGTATCAATGAATCGGCTCACATCTCTCGTCATAACGGGACTGATTATACATCTATAATCCACTTAAACCAATCTTTTAATCAACATAAACATTCATTATTGTTTTTATAACCTAAATTACTTACCCACATTTCCGAAGAGTGTTTTAATTCGTCAAACGGCACCGATACATTAGCCACAAATTCGTCCGGGGGAATGGCTGCGTCATGAAAGACGGTTATTCCAAGATTTTGGCCATTGTGTATTTCAGTTATTATATCCTCCTTCCACCTCGGAGACAAAGTTCGGGGTTTAGAAGTCGTTCTGGCCACATAAACTTCATCAATATCGATGGAAATATAAGGATCTATCGGCTGGACCGCTTTATTCGGGCCCATTTGATGGCGGGTAGCGAAGTCGGTAGGTCTAAGATCCACCGCTTCGCAAACCCTGATCTTTATAGAGCCATTAAAATAGACCATTTTGCTTCTATCCATTTGTAAACCCCCTAGTGGGGATGCTAACCATCCACTCGCACAATAAAAATCCGTTTCGATGTCATCTAAATCCGTAAAAAATCACAATATCTAGAAATCCACAACTATCTACCATGAAAAATATTACGGAAGTTGTAATGAGAAATCTGCAGCAGACCCGTGTAGGAAATGCAATGAACTCTACGCATGCGCAGAAATCAGTCTGTGACCCTTGACCCTTCGATTAAGTCAAACTAGGAATTTTGTAAAACGTATATTTTGTGATGTAACTATTAATTTACGATTTAATTTGATTTATTCTGTCATTGAAGTCATCTGACTAAGTATGAGGCATATGTTAGACCTTTTCTGAGAATTCTGTATGATAATATATTCTATAAATACCACCTTACATACAATATTATAATGTTCTGTCAATAAAAAATAACCCGTATATAGCGACCAATACAAAGCCAAACATTTTCATTTCATTAATTATTGCTTAATAACTTTTCTCGAATTATTTCAAGAATTAAAAAAAAATTCAGTAATAGTCCTTAGATAGTCTCTTTAACTTATAATTTTCAACATTGTAATACATAGTAAGAAAAATGTCAAGATGAAGGTATATAAAATTGGATCGCCAATGAACTAACATTATAAACTGTACGTTATTGATAATATTGCCCTGCTTGCGTTACGCGAAAGAGATTTCTAAGGTTATAGAAATTGTAAATCTAATTAAAGAAGCATTTATGTCTAAGATAAATACGTTTTTCACAGCTATTATTTTTTTACATTCGCTTAAAATTTGTCATTGTAACATAATCATTTATAATCATTTTACTTTCTTTTAAATAGGGACCACATGCATTTCCATAGGAAATTATAGTGGAAAAATGATAAAGGAAAAATAAAGGAAATTTTGTATATTTTATTTTTTAAGAAACTTTATACGAACTGTTCAGATTAAAGAGTCAACATAAATCGTGGAATACAACACAAATGTTATAATTTTCAAGCACTGCAAATGTGAGGTTTATATTTAACGGACTGTGAGAACTATTTTTCAAGGACGATGGTAGCTTTTGTCCACAAATCTATAACATAATAAAACTTCTTCATAAATGAAACACCTGTTAATTACCACATAGACCTTACTAATCTGGACAGTGATGGAATCGAGGAATCTGTTGATTGCCACGTAGACCCTTTAGAACTAAATAAGATGCTATATATAAGTACTCTTATAATTTCACTAATTTTTAATATTTTCATTTCCTGTCTTCAGAAGTTATAAAAAGATTTAAACACTATAGTAGGGTATTTAGATGTAAGTACAATATGACGTGTGAGATGCTTTAAGCCTATTAGACAAAATGATAGGAAAAAGCAATACTTACTTACAATGTTTTACCGTGCTTTCCAATAATGTTTTAAAATAAGTAAATACTTAGACACCAAATCCAAGGGCTTCAGTGGGCTATGTTTCCGAAAGTTAGAAGCATATTTCAATTATGCTATGCCGACATCCTATGAAAGGCGGCAAGGCCGAATAAAATTTCCTGAGTTTAAACCTTTGAAATGGCAGCAGGACAATCTTGAAGAAGGTTACGTGGTACTTGGCCTGAGTATATAAATGAAATGAATTAAAGAATTAACTTAAAAAATCCTGGTAGGAAGAGGACAATAACATTATATTTTACACAATAATAATGCTGAGATATAGAAATTAATTTTATGTTTAAATGTAACAAACACGCATAAACTCAGAAAGTCTCATGGTAAGACCCATCATACCTTCATTGACATCCCATCATTGATTATACTGAATTTTTTAGTTCCACTCCATTTTACCTCAGAGTTGTAAGAATTTTTGTCTTGGCTGATTCATAGGCCTATGCAGGCAGGGTGCTATTTTGACTTTTTGTGATCTGAAATCACAGATAATGAATAATTAGGGTATAAACGAAAAAATTCAAAGACTACATGTTTCTTCAAATGGAACGAATTCTTGCAACAGCAAAAATTAACAGCCAGCTGGTTCCGTCTAGTAAACGTGGCCTGAATAAGTTTTATACTAAGACAAGTTACCTCCCCTTTAGTCTTCTTACTTCCGCTCTACTTCATAACAAAGTAAAAGTAGAAATCTGATGAAAGAAGACAAAATGTCAAGCTGAAATTGCTCAAAAGTGTAGATAGATTAGCGATGTAATACCATCACGGATACAACAACAAGTATAATGTCCCTCGGAGCTTTTTCAAAATCAATTCATTTGATCAAATCCTTGCAACATGGGTAATTTCATTTCTGTTAATAAAATCCAACCACAAACCTCTCTTTACCAATATTATTCTCAATCTGCGCTGCGAATAGAAATTTCAGCTTATAGGATGCTGAAGAAATAATTCTAAAAAACGTGCTAATGTTTTTAAAAAATTTTCTTTTGGATAAGCTTACCAAGGTCTAATTCTTTCAGAAATTATGAAAATAGTTAATTATAGTCAAGGTTACATATTCTTGTATAGATCAAGATCGTTAAATTTGATTTTGAATTTTGTAGAAGTATTGCAAGATCAAGAATTACGTCTCTAACAACAAGATACATCTCAGAAATTAAAGAATCGGATCAACTGCAACTTAGTAAAAGTTGTGTTAAAGTAAGTAACAACTAAGAGATAGTGTCTTCTAGAAAGAAAGTGCATAATTTTAACTAAAATTGATGATAAGGATTTTGAGACAACAGCATACTAAGCACTGCTAGAGAAACTGAAACTTTTAAAGGTATAGGCTACTCATAAATCTCATCATACATTATCAAGGCTTGTTTTGCCTGCTTGGTAAAAGAAGGCTATGTTTAACAAAATTGGAATGACTTGGAACTATTAGGTGCTTTTCTAAAAATCATATACTCATGCACAAAACCTACTTGTACAGCTATAATCTTTAATACTACTAACAAGTGAAATAAAAATATTCTGTTATATTTCAGAGATTGAAAGAGATAGTTAAAGATAAGAGTTTTTTACGGGTTCAAGTTGAAGGAGGAGGTTGTTCAGGGTTTCAGTATAAATTTGAGTTAGATAAAACAGTTAATGAAGATGATAGGTTTGTATTCAATCTTTATATAGAGTTATCTATAGCTATAATGCCTGTAGCTAAGTGGGTGCTCCCTTTCTTGGAAAATTTCGGCCAATGATGTTAAACTTAACCTACTACTTTTCATCTTTAACTTGAAGCTTATGAAAGCTCCCCCCTCCCCTCATTAAATAATTATATTTATGAAACAGGAATTACAAATAATTTAATATCATTAAATAAACATATTATTTGTGGTTTATAAAGTATAATTGTTGTATATTTTAGGGTTTTTGAAGAAGGAGGGGCTAAAGTAGTAGTTGATGCAGATTCTCTCGAGTATATTAAAGGCTCCACAATAGATTTTCATGAGGAACTTATCAGATCTGCTTTTGTAGTTGTTAATAATCCTAAAGCTGAACAGGGATGTTCTTGTGGAGCTTCCTTTGCTGTCAAACTTTGACAATAGTGAACATGTTTTTGAAAAAAAATAGTCCAAAATGCTTCAGTGCTAAAATAATGATATTATTGAAATATTAGAATTGTACCTCTAACTAAATGCCATTTTATGAAAGCGCTGTTGATTTAATTTTTTTGCCGATCGGACATTTTTCAGCGACCTGTGAAATCTGATCTCAATTCCCCACAGAATAAGTTCTGTTATATACTGACATGGTGTTCGACAATATAGATGTCAACTGTTCGCACCATTTTACCAGCACTCATTAAAACTAAGGTTATGTTTTTTATCTGAAAGAGTATTAAGTATAATAATAAAAATTAAAAATTTATAGATCATCTGAATTGTGAAAAAGCTGAAGACCGAAAAGAAGTATTCATCATTATCATCACCTCGGCCCAAGGGATAGGATATCAGACTTAGTTTACAAGAAAAATGTCTAAAAACTGGATCTAAAATAATATGAAACAGAGTTTCCTGTCCTACTTTTCTGCACCTGCTTGAGCTAATGAAGATGGGCAACGTCATGCAGTGTTCGATGAGAGGACAGCAGCATAAGCTTATTCTTGTTAAATTTCGATATCTTGAGGGATCTTTTACATAAGGCTAGAGTTTATTGTCCCATCTGAAGGACTTCAACCTCCTACTGGATCAAGGGTTAAAGATGGGTTTCCTTTTTTTTAGTGTCAAATTAAGCAAACCATTTGATTAATTGGTGTTTCTAATGAATTATCATGTATTCTTTATCATATGACTTTGTTCTTATTCAATATAATTAAGAGTTTTAACCAAAAATAAATGTCCATGTAAATACAGCCTGGACATACAAAAAAATACTTTTTGACCTTCCTCGATCGGTCACTCATTGGAATTCTGCTGGTAATTCTCTTATAATTTAGCTAATGAGACAAAGATATATTTTTCCAAGTCATAGAATACCTCTACTTTCTATTCATATAAGTATTAGCATTTTCATTTTAATAAATGGAAATAAGGGAACCCCTCTTTAAGTGGCAGAACCACAAGGTGTACTTGAGGAACCTTTCAGAATATTTGAAAAACAAAACAATTCCTGTAGGCACAGTGGCACTGAAGTTCTATTTACTATTCAAAGTTGAACATCTTTCCATATAATCTGTTACAGTTCTCACCTGTGCCAAGCAGAACCTGATCATTTATGACACAAAGATACATTGATATAATAAACAACAATTTGTGATGAGAATTCAAGGTGATAGTGTGCGATTGAGATTTTATTTTCTAACTTTTGAAACTCATACAATATCTACGTATTATTGAATACTTTTTGTTCTTTCATTAACTATGTTTTGTTGAAGCTTACATATATTCATTTATTACTTTAGGCTATCTGACAATGTACTATGAAGTTAATGTACAGAACATATTGAATGGAGGCTAAAACTCAATTGTAATAGGGTCTACTTTCCAACCCATTGTATAAAGTAGATGTGTAGAGTTAGCGGGGTGGGAAACCATTTGTAACAGCTTCATTACTTTAATCAAGTAAAACAATACTGCATTCTTTATTGCAGCAGAACAGTCAGTTACGGATGCTTCATTTAAATATGTCATGATCACAGAAACGTCTTCAAATAGTGAACTATCACAGCAGTTTTAACTAACTCGTCTCTTCTTACAATTGCCTTTGGGTTGACTGGTTGAACTTCTCTTTTTGCTGGTTCTTGATTTCCGTACAGACTTTGTAGTCACGCTAGCTGATGTTTTAGGAGATTCATTAGGGACTGTCAATTCTGCAGTAGATGATTCAGTTGATGGTCCACCAGTAAGTTTCGGCAGTACAGAAAATATATCGGAAAAGTTTTTATCAAATAAAAGCATCTTTTGAGACATGTCAGCCAATTTAGTGTCCTGTCTTTCTATTTTAGATGATAATTCAGCTATTTTTCTATCCTGCTCACCAATTATTTTGCGCTGTTCTGTAAATTTTGTTTTGGTTTCACTCAATCCCTTTTTCAATGCTTTTATCACAGTTTTCTGGGTCTGTAGATGTCGGTTGAGAGAATGCATGTCTTGTTTTGGACTTGGCAGTGGTTTTGGATTAGCTGGGCTTGTCATAGGACCTGAAAAGACAAAGTTATAATTCAGTTCTCCGTGTTCAATATAATCATAAAAGGACCCCTTTCCAATGATCGTCTAAGTTATAGTTTTTGTCGTAGTGTAACAAAGGTCTTACCACTTGCCCCATAAATTGAAAATTAAGAATTATTTTGTATTACTGCTTTTGATTTCAAATTTGATGTCACATTTTATGTTGACATTTAATAATGTTGACATTTAATAAGGTTCACATGATCATCATGAGCAGATCAATATTGGGCACAATAAGTAACAATACTGATATGATGTTATCTTAAACATCTACCCATGAGAATGTCAATAACAGACTGTCTAAAATTTTATGACACATTCTCCAAAAATGATACAAATTAGATGAAATTAAGCAAATGCTGAGTTGATTATCACTCTTTGATTATTCTTACCAAATGGAGCATCAGCATCTACACCAAACATTCCAATACTTGTGTTAAAACTGGAAGAGGGACATGGTATCTGTTGTTTCAATATAGGAACAATTGCTTCATCAAAATGTTCCATAGCCATAGATGAAATATCTCTGAGCTCTTGAAGGAATTCATGAGCCCTGGGTGGTTTGATATTAACAAATTGAAGACTTCGTAAGATATTGAATAATTCATCTAGCACCTGAAAGATAGAGGGTATAAAAATGAAGTATGGACAGGGTTCAATGTAAGCGGTTTTGCATTGCAGTTTGTGAGTCAAAACAGCTCTGTTTGCAATCCAACTTTTTCTATTATCCAAAATAAAATCTACCATTACAACCTGCGAATCAAATAAAATTGTATATTGTTCCTGATAAGGTTTATTATAAGCTTACTATTGCCTGTTCATAACTATAGAGTATAGACTTGCCAAGCTTCACGTCAAGGTATCATAATATAATATGACATTGTGAAGATGAGACAAGTAGACCTACCTACCTTTCCAGGAATAAAACAACAGAGGTCAGAATCTATGTATTTTGTAAAAGTCATTGATAGCAAAGACAGTCTAGTTTCTACAGCTGATAAAATATTAACATGTCTAGCCAGGGGATGAAGATGTCTTTCAGATTCACGTCTTGGTAGTTGACTTTTGACTTTTTTATGTATTGATCTATGACACTGATCTACTCTTTTAAAACCATCTGTCAGTCGCATCTTACAAAGCTGATTAAATGCTTGGCAGACCTATGAAAAAAAAACATATACTATCAAAGGTATCAGTATCTTTAGAACTATCAGATAAACCATCACTAAAGCCTACACTAAATATCTGGTATATCATCAACAATAAAAAAGGTCTTTGAATGGCATTTAGCAATTGTGAATACGATATATAGACACAGCTTCATTGAACAACAATCACTGGTTAAAGTTTTAGGCAATGTTTCGACTTGTTTCCTCCATCGTCCATTGTTTCTCTAATCTAGCCAGAACCAGGGTTTAAAAGGTTTTTTTACATTTCTAATTCACTTCATTGAATATAAGCATCACAATTTAAAATTTTTAATAGAACTTTTACCCTGTGTCAATGTCTTCCATTGAATTGTAACTTGTTTCTCTTAAGGAAGATCAACAATGATGGAATAGATACTTGGAATCAAGTCTGATGAGATAATGGAGTAATTGAAGGACACATCCAAAAAAGTATTGTTTTGTTAATTTGAATTATTTCAAAAGAGCACCTGTCAGCATCAATTGAATTTACAGAAGGGAATTTTTCCTGTAAAAGTGGGTCGTTTTTTAGGCTACTTTCTAGGAAGTAAGTTTTTTTCATATAAATATCACCAGACATAATTTCTGTATGAACCCAAAGATATTCTGTGACAAATAATGATAATAATTATGAAAATTCCATTTTGAATTAGCCTACTTTATGACAGAAAAAAATTAAATTCTGATCTAAATGTAGTCTGAAAATTGATATGGCTTATTTCTGCACGGGCTAAATATGCAATTTGCAAATGTTCCTTAATTTCAATTGTAAATATTACTCTGCCATTTTGGTGGCCCTCTTCTACATCTACTTTTGCCAGTCAGTGTTGTTTATGAGGGTTGTGGTTATCAAAAAGGAAAAAAAAACAAACATCACACTCCAATATATTTCTTTGTTAATGAATGTCAGGCTACATAATTCAACACATTAGTTAGGGCTCGGACTTTAATGCTCAGCAAAATTTACAAAGATTTGTTTGCGGTTTGTTGGTTTGTAAAATACGGTCACCACAAAGTCTTCATAAAAAATTCTCAAAATCTATTGGCTATACCTCGCGAAGTTCTGCGGTTTCGGCATAATTGAAACAAGATAGAATCTTGACAAGAATGTGTTGGGGCAAGTTCAATAAATTGATCTCGTAAGCCTCGGAATCATTCAATTCTGAGCATGAACTCGAAGGTTGAAAACCGGAAGCCATGTTTGTTGATAATAACCAAGGGCAGCTAACTCTCAGCATTCTTTACTAAAGGAAAACAACGTTGTTGATGAAACATTAAAACGTGTGACCTTTCATTGGAAACCAAGCATAGCTCATGTTGAGCTAGGATGTATTCACTGCCAAGGGGACCTACTAAAATTAATACTGCAACACGGAATGTGAGAGGTCTTCCTAAACAAAGAGACAACCTAGATTTTTACGAATCTCAGCATGGTAAAAAACGTCAAGATGGGTTTCATCATAATCATATGAATAAACCAAGACCTACTTTCAATGGCCAAAAGGTGCCTAACAGTTCTAACAACCATATTGCAAGATTTACAAGAGAACCAGTAGAATTTGAATCACAGCAACACGAAGAAATCTGCACTTACTTCTCTGAATCCTGGAAAAAAGTCTTCAAAGAATGTGAGAACAGTAAAAGGAAAGACCAAGAAAGTGGACCGCTGTGGTATAAGGAGAAAACACCCAACCCTAAATTATTGAACTTTAAACCGTTTGATTTGGATGATTGGTATTGGCAGAGATATTTGAAGAAAGTGACTGAATCCTAAATTCATGCCTTATTCGAATGTTCTATGTGTGTTCTGTGTGTCTGTTGTTTGTTTTCAGCTATAATTGTTTTTGTAGAGAGTATACATTTATTACATTAGTATCATAATTATTTCAGATGAATATTTTAATGTACATAATGAAATATTAATAAATCTTTTAAATTTTACTAGTTGTGGTTGTATCAGCAAGTGTCTAGGCGTTAAAGACATTAAGGAATAAAACTTTGTGCATAATCTGGGATTACTGTACATTTTGATTTATTAGTGTGAATTCCTAAGACTATAAGGATAATGTACAATGGAACAAAGATCTTTGTGCCCTTCTGATGCCTACTATAGCCTGTCAATGGTGTAATAAAGAGCCAAGTTAATTTGATTTTAGTTATCTTGCACCAAATGGACACTCATGACAGCTACTAGAGAGGGCAGCCCAGAGATGAGGACTGTTGTTGGCAGCCTACACTTTGATAGGAGCAATTGGCATGAGTAAAGACCTTACAATCATTATTAAGATCACATGGTTTTAATAGGGCTATATTGACGTCTAGGGTCATGGAAATAAGTTCCAGATTTTAGTATTTTTCTTCCACTTTCCAATATTTTTGTTTTATTTTAAGCTTGTTATGAGGTTAGGCAACATTTCTTTTTAATCCTTCTAAATGAGAACATGATTAAGGATTTAACATGTTTGATCTTGACCCAGGACACCTAAAATCACCAGCCCATAAATAAAGACTCCTGTAGGAAATATTCATACAATGTTGAATGTGTTGATTTTATTATATTTTTTATAACAATAAATATAGGCCTATGAAAAGTACACTCAAAAACGCACAATCAAAGAAAGTTGAATTTATAGTATAATATACTATGATTATATATTTATATTATATATCATGGTCTTCATATAAGTTTGTGTATTACAATTATTAGTTAATAATTTGTTGTATCAGTCACAAAGCTCAGAAAGGGATAATTAGTTAATCCAGACTATTGGCCTTCTAATTGTAAGCTAGGGACATGATATAATACATATATATTGTTCATTATATAAAATCTTATATAATAGACAAAACCTCTTCTTCAGATATTATGATGGAATTAATTCATTGATAAATAGCCAAGGCCTTCGTTTTGGTTTTGGTTCATTAAAAATGAAGACAAGAAGACTATACTATCAGAGACATCATAGGCATTCATAGGCATTCACTTATAATGAATACGTTGATATATTATTATATAAATTGTCAACTGTATAAAACACTCGGTTTATGTTGCGAATGCATTGCACTCTAAAAGAAAACAAAACAAAAAGATTAATGTCATGAACAATATAATTTCCCGGGCTATTATTACATAACCACGTGCCTCAACAACACGTGGTTTATTTCGCGCCTAAAAAATTAAGGCATGGTTTTGGGGAGCCTAATTCTACGCTGAAGGCATAGGCCTAAGTGATGGTAAATGTTAGCTAGGTTTATTAACAGGTATTGCTTAGATTGAACATAATAAGATATTTCGATTTATGTTGAATGTAAAAGGTATTTTTGATAACTGAAGCTGAGCCATGACATCGTTTGACCTCTATACAAATCAGTCACGTGTTTCATCAACACGCGATAAACAAAAATGGCGGACATTACAGACGACGCTTGGAGAATGATTCGGTTGTTATGGAAAGATGACATGAAGTTATTAGACTATATTTGTTATATGTATCTTGTTAACAGTGTGTTTGTTGTGTTTATGTTAACTTTTGTCAGTGCACCCTATGGACGTTATTCTCGAGGAGGCTGGGGGTTTACTATCAATGCCAAAGTGGCTTGGTTTATCCAAGAAGTGCCTTCTATTTTAATACCAATTGGTATAATGTTATATACAGACTGTCCCAAATTACAATATACCCCAAATAGAATTTTGATATCATTGTTCTCTTTACATTATATTCAAAGGTACGTGATCGATAATAACATATACATTCTTGAGATCAATTCTTTCATACCTATTTGTAGCCTACTGCTTATTAGTGATACTGATATTTTACAGACATAAAACTGCTTGCAGCTTAGGCCCATAGCCAAAGTTACTATACCAGGAACAGTGGGCCAACTTCGGTGTCAGTGCTTCCACAATATGTTTAATGTAATGTAATTTCAATTATACAGTTTTACTATGTGATAAAATTTGAATCTATAAAAGTAAAACTAGTTATCTTTCTTCTGTTTCCTTTCAGGAGTTTAGTCTATCCATTCTTAATAAAAGGAGGAAAGCCAACACCTTTAATACCATTTTTATTAGCTCTTGTTTTCTGCACCATCAATGGATATTTACAATTTAATTATTTAGCCAAATATGCTGATTATGGGAATGATTGGTTTTCTCTGAGGTTTATTGCAGGTATTTTCACAAATATTTAATTTAAACTATTGGGTAAAATTCATTAGTAATCAAGAAGTATTGTTTTTTTCTGACCATATCATTCATAAAATGAACTCCTGTTGAAATATGATTGAAAATAATTATAAACCTATAAGGCTTTTGAGGAATTTATCCATGTAACACAGAAATGCTGTTATGAGCTTTGGTGTCTTGAGGAAGTTTTGCTTACTTTTATTTACATCCCTTTATATTTTCAGGAGTCATGTTATTTTTTACTGGAATGTTCATCAATCTTCAATCAGACAGTATTTTAAGAAATCTGAGAAAGCCAGGTGAAACTGGATACAAAATACCAAAAGGTAGGGCCTACCATTTTGACTGCATTTTAAAGGAAATGTTATGATATTTTATCCAGTCACAGGGCCTTATTCTCAAAAACTTAAGTAATATAAGGTAAAACCCAAATTTAAAGTAATCTAATTGGATTAACATAATATTCATTTTAGTGATTGACCAATCAGATGACTGGAATACTAAAATTATCTTACATTAAGTTTTCGGGAATATGGCCCCAACTTTTTAGATTATATTCTATTAGAATTTATCACTTTAATAATGTATTCAGAAATAATTCTAGTTTGGAAAAAGTATATGAAAATTTTTTTCCTTTACTTTGGAAATGATATGGGGATTTCTGCCATGAAAGACCTTTTGTCATTATGAAGATGAATGCTATCGATTTTCCAGATGATCTGATAATTTCTCACAGAAATATCGTGTGCAATCTAGCGTTTTGTCTCTATTAACTGTATTGTGCAACCCCTGCTCACTCTACAGGCAACAATTCATCATAGATTCTTTTGATTTTTATTTTGTGGGTCAATGTCATTATGAAGATGATCCCTATCAATTTTCCAGATGATCTGATAATTTTTCACGGAAATATTGAGTGCAACCTAGCATTTTCTCTCTATTAAAGATGGGTTGCCTTAGTTTTCAGTGTCAAATTATGCAAACTATTTGATTAATTGTTGTTTCTAATGAATTATCATGTATTCTTAATCATATCATTATGTTTTTATTGCATATGATTAATAGTTATAACCAATCATAAATGTCAATGTATGTAGAGTCCTGATAAACAAAAACAAAATTTTTGACCTTTCTTGAGCGACCACTCATTGGAATTCTGCTTGTAATTTAGCTAATTATGAATTAATTATGGACATGTGAGACAAACTGGTATTTTTCCAAGTCATTAGAACACCTCTACTTTCTATTCATATAAGTATTAGCATTTTCATTTTTATGAATCGATTTTCCAGATAATGTGATAATTTTTCACAGAAATATTGTGTGCAACCTTGCATTTGTCTCTATTAACTGTATTGTGCATCATGGATTCTTTGATTTTTATTTAAGGGTCAATGTCATTAGGTATGGCCTAATAATCACCTGAACAGGTCTTTTCTCATTACTTCTCAATATCATTTTAGGTGGTATGTTTGAATATGTATCTGGAGCCAATTTTTTGGGTGAAATAATTGAATGGTGTGGATTTGCTCTCTCTGTGTGGGCCTCATCTGCTGCGGTATTTGCTTGTTTTACTATTTGTAATATCGGTCCTCGAGCTCTACAACATCATAGGTTTGTATCTTATTAATTCTCTGAAGTGTGGTTTCAAATTGACTGCAGATGTTCCATTATCCATGTGAAATGGTCTGATGTCATGTTGTAAAATCAATAAAAGTTGGCACCTTTTTGTAACAGGAATATCACCTTTACACTAAAAAACTTGAATTACTTGTGATAAATAATTTTTAAATTCTTTCTTTGCAGATGGTATCAAAAGAAGTTTGATAATTACCCAGCTAAAAGAAAGGCTTTGATCCCCTTTATATTATAGAATGGTATTCAACATACATAAAAAGTGCCCTAAAAATCAACTTTTCAGTGCCGCGTGTAGACAGGTTAAATGATGTCACAAAGTGAGTTCTAACTGCTAAAAAAGAGGGAAGGAAAGGAAATATCAGAGGATGATAAAAATACCTTATTTTATTTCATCTACTACTATGGTTTTTAATATTTGTTATTTATTTTTGAAAATAAAAAGATAATTCATTTTCTGTGTTTTTGATATATTATGGTAATGTTAAGTTGATAGGTTGTTCTATTGTCTTGCAAAACATTTGAAAACAACAGTACATTAAACTTCAATTAGTATTTTGCTTCATGATTTGTACACATACCACAGGAATAATAAAACGAAACAAACTGTATATATAAAAAATTGTTCATTGTCCTCTGTTCTATATTATAGTTGACGGATTGTTCCCCTGTTCTACATCATATATATTGCAGTAGACACAGTGTTCCTCTGTTTTATATTATAGTTATAATATATAATAGGGTAGAGGGTCAGCCGTCCCCCGTCGCTACCTAGAAAGCAAATTTTTTGGGGCAAAAATTTCATAACCAGGTTAGAAATTCGGACAATCTCAGATATTTCGCCCATCTCAGACGTAAACCTGGCTTCGCCACTGGTTGACGGTAATCATCCTGTTCTATATTATAGTTGACAGATTGTACCCCCTTGTTCTGTATCATAGTTGACAGATTGTTCCCCCTTGTTCTGTATCATAGTTGACAAACTGTTCCCATGTTCTATATCATAGTTGGCAGATTGTTCCCCCTTGTTCTGTATCATAGTTGACAGATTATTCCCCCTTGTTCTGTATCATAGTTGACAGACTGTTCCCCTTGTTCTGTATCATAGTTGACAGATTGTTCCCCCTTGTTCTGTATCATAGTTGACAGATTGTTCCCCCTTGTTCTGTATCATAGTTGACAGATTGTTCCCATGTTCTGTATCATAGTTAACAGATTGTTCCCCTGCTCTATATCATAGTTGGCAGATTGTTCTCCCTTGTTCTATATTATGACAGATCGTTCCCCTGTTCTATATATCATAGTTGGCAGATTGTTCCCCTGTTCTATATATCATAGTTGGCAGATTGTTCTCCCTTGTTCTATATTATGACAGATCGTTCCCCTGTTCTATATATCATAGTTGGCAGATCGTTCCCCTGTTCTATATATCATAGTTGGCAGATTGTTCCCTTGTTCTATAAAGAAGTTGACAGGTTGTTTCCCTGTTCTTTATTAGTCGAAAAATTGTTTCTCTGTTCTGTATAATAGTAGACTGGTTATATTTTATGGTAAACAGATTGTTCCTCTGTTCTATTTTATAGTAGACATGTAAGTTGTTCCGCCTTGCTTTATGATATCAGATAGGATTATAGTTGTCCCCCCACCCCGTTATATAATATATATAATTATGATAACTTGTGCTTCTGTTCTATATTATAGCATACGAAACATGGTTCTTACATGGACCTAACACAACCTTATACACACGAACGCAGTTCACAACAATTTTGAATCTCTACCTCGAATCAATAAGTTGAATTTCTTCCAAAAGGCTAAATATTTCAACCAAGCCTTGAAATCTCATTTAAAGTCATTTCGGTGCCTTTAAATGTGATTTTTTTTAAAGAGAGAGATTCGATTCTAGTGAAAGAATGACTGAATGATGACTGCTCGGCCCCCTCACCTGATGTTTTCTAGAAACGCCCCTGGGTAGTGAAAGCGAAACTGTGACGTTATATTTACACTTTCAATTTTAGTTGATTTGAGTTCATGGCACAAGTAAAAGGTGACTAAAAAGATGGGAAAAGAGATAATTATTTACGTCTTGGCCACGATATTAGTCATCGGATCGTACATGATCGGATACATGGTTGTTGCAGGAGCATGTTCGGGATTAATGCTTGGTGGATTTGCTGGTTACTATTACCTGGAAGCTCGTATCATTAAAATAAACAAACGGAAAAAAGACGCAGACGAGGAATTGAATTCCTTTGGAATCTGTCCATAAATCAGGTATGGCGAAATTTTATATATTTCATGCATTTAAATAAAGTGAAATTTTGTTTTATATGAGAATTTTGTGGCTCAGGAGGGCAACCTTTTTCTTTCATCGCTAACCTACTCTGGGGTATGTGGAGCTCGCTTTCCGACGAGATAATGTCTAGGGTTTCTACTGTCGATGGAGCACTTCGATTCAACGACATTAATTAGAGTTAATTTAAATAGAGTTCTTTCATTTTATTTTACAGTGATACAAAGGCTTCAAAAATGTTGCAGAGATGCCTATAGTACACTAAACAAAGGTCGATGGCAACAAGACTTCTAAATGCACTTTCTTTATAATAAAATAGTTACAACACTTTTATCTGTTATTAAAATCAGGATTATATTTCAGGATACTTTGAACCAGAATTAATATAGCATGAATGTCGATATACTTTCTTCTAAGTTCAAACATCTCAAATACGTCTTGGAGGCTCGCCTCGCCTTTTTTGATAGTGTTCAATAGCTATCGGCATTACTAATCAGATATACAGTCTGAACAGTGGCGTTTCGACGAAAGATAAAGAGTTTGTTCTTATTACTAATACTACCCCCGCTTCAGCAAAGCGTAAATTTCATCAAAAACTTTTATCCAACTGGAAATTGTATGTAGTGTGTAACTATAATATTGGGAGATAACGGGTGATAATGCAAATATTTAGACGACACTAGATGTAGGCCTAAGATTTTATAAGCCAAATACCTGCCGTCAATGAAGGAAATATTAGATTGAAGCCAATATGCAGGTTATTAGACCTGTTATGACTTTATATGGATGACAAACGAAAGTGTCAAAACCACACCCTACAAACTTATCCAAGAAAAGACGATCGGTGACAAGAATTTAAAACCCCATCGTATCCAAACCACACCCCCATTCGTCATATTTCCTTGTTTATAAGACAATGTGAAAACCTATATTCGAGATACGATGAAAGAACGAATTGATTCTGCTTAATAGCCTACTTACCCAAGCGAGAATATGGCGTTATTTTTACACCTGGAAAATACATGTCGATGAATAATCATGTACCGGGCCTTACTTTCAATTTCGGTTGATTGGAGTTCATAGTACAAATACTAAAAATGATATCTACGATGGCTACCCTTCCACCAGATACAAAGAGGACAATTGCTGCCCTTTTGGCCATTGTTTTAGGCATCGTATTTTACCTCCTCGGAAATATGTTTGTTTATAGTTTAGGAATAATACTGGGTGTTTTCATCGGTTATTACCATGAAGAAAATCGTATAAGTCGGTTAGAGAAACAGAAGCAAGACGCAGTTCAGGAATTAAAAAATGAAATTTTAAAAGACTTCCTCCTTCCAATCAGGTAAGGTAGAAATTCGCCCATAGTACTAGTATTCATGTCAGTGAAATTTGTTTTTTATGAGATCTTCGGTGGATCAGGATGGAAACATGTCAGTGGTCTATAGGGTTGTCTTTCCCACATATAAGATAATGCCTTATGATTAAAAAATTATAGATTTTCTCCTGTCGGTGAAGAACTCCGAAGGCTCTGGCCACCACTATATAGGATGATCGTAACCTTGAAAACTTGTATCTCAATGTCCCGTCTACACGATCAAACATTTTGTTCAAAACATTGAAAATTAATACCCTAGCACTTCTCTACAAGACGACATAGTCATAAAAACGAATGGAAATCCTAAACAATTGGTTAAAGGCAAAAAAATATGAAAAGCAACTGGGATCTTCGGAAGGCTAATATTTTGTCAGCCATCTTGAATAATTTTCGCCATCTTGGATTTTCATTTGACCAATCGGACAGATTTGATTAGTAATACATGTTTGTCAATTTTGATTTTTATCATCATTCGGACAATTTCTCTTTTATTTCCTATATATTTTATTAAACGACATATCAACGTGTAGACCGAAACATCTGTCTCTATTCCAGTCTCTGAAAGCTATTTGGACAGATGTCAGCTGGTATAGAGTCAGAAAAAATAGACCCTGTTAAATGGGGACATTCCATATCTCCACAGGTGCGAGGTTAAACCTATTTAGATACCTCGGATCTGCAAAACCCAGGTATATTTGGAAAGGTGAATATTTTTGTAGTTCAGGCATATCATCATTTTCCCCCTTCACCATTTATGTCATGTCTCCGGTTCCATCAAAGTTTTTTTTTTGCGAAACTGATCTAGCATCGGCCATTCAAAACTGTGTGCGCAGCCAAAAGTTCAAAGGTCACAGGGTCGCGTGATACTAGATTACGGTGATGCCCAACACTAATTCACAATCACCTTAAAGGCAATTCAATATTGTGTTAGAGAAACGCATATTTGGAGGTGTTGAAATTCTCCATTTAACAGGGTCTTTTTCTCTACTCCAGCTGACAACTGTCAAAATATCCATCAGAGGGTGGAATAGAGGCAGATGTTTCGGACTAATCAACATGTACGAACCTGATCCACAGATAAAGTCTATTATAAGAATATTTATCAAAGTTTTTCTTAGAAACGATGATAGGTAACAATAAAATTGAAAAACCTTGTCTACGACTCAAATTCTTAGAATCTATTCAAATCGAAATTGAAAATCAATTTTTATTGAGCGATTCGAGAACCGAATCAAAACATATGTTTCTTTAGAAAAATACCTTGTTTTTGTATTATATAATACTATACACAACAAAGACTTATACCTATATCCTGATGTAACATATATATAAATATATATATAATATATGGATTTGGGATTTGGGACTCGGAACATTACAATTGAACCCATTAGGATGTAACAATAAATATATTTGGTTAAGGTATTCGTAAAAATTTGTGAGTTTAAACGTTAAAAATATTCTAAAAACGATGTTTTGTCCTGATTTGACTTATTAAGACGAACATTGCCATACAATTTGTATGATTAGGGAAGGTGATTGAAAGTAACAGGGTTAAAGTATTGTTTACATCTATAGTGTAGTATTAATAAGACTATTTAGTAAACTGAGCATAAGGTAGTAATTTTAAGTTCCGGTCTGAAAAGTTATAATACATTTTAAAACTAAACATTAAAATTCATAATTATATAATATATAATGTCTATCCGTATCTAACCCTTTTGAATTTTGCGGAGGGGTCTTCAAATACAAAGCCTGTAGAAAACAGAGCCTCGAATTATTG